TCTCCCCCTCCCCCCGCCCGGACGGCGGGGTGGCCGCGGGGACATCGCTGCTGTGCCGGGCAGCGGCAGGACGGCAGACGGACCCCGCGCGCTGGTCTGTGCTATTTTTCCGAGCAAGGCAGCTTCCCTTTGAACTAGTCACAGAAACACGGGCGCTGACACACCAAGGGGGAAAACCCAACAGGCCTAATTATAATCGGACTTTGATGAGCGTTACCTCTGCGTCTCCTTGGGAGACGCTTCCGAGTTACCCCGTGCGGAGAAACACGCGGCCCGTACCCTTAGGTATTTTCTTTTTAAAGCTTTAATTTAAATCAGCTCTTGAGAAACAACTGCTTGTTATGCAAATCAGCTCGTGGCCCTCGCAGAGGCTTGGACGGGGGGCGAGGGGCATGGATGGGGCGGGCGGCGAGGGGCATGGACCAACGGCTGGCGGGAGGCAACCGCTCGCTGTGATCCCGCCAAAGACGAGTTGCCGAGCGAGCGGTGACAAACAGCGAACCCAGCCAGCTCGTACAAACGGCAAATGGACCAGGCTGTTCAGAACAATCTGTTCCTGCTCCGGAGAAGGGCTGAGATGCCGGCAGCAGGCTGCGAGAGCGGTTATTCTCGGACCGAGCCGCTCTGATATTCTGCTTTAGAAAAATGGAAGGGCCGAGACGGGGTAATTAGCAGGAGACGTGCCCTAAATCAAAGAGAAGGACTGCAGGCGGCTTTGCCGGGATGAGCTGTCCCCAACGAGCTCGGTGGCGAAGGAGCCCTGCTTCGCCGTCGCTCTCCCGGCTTTCTGCTCCAGCGGCGCAGGCTGCAGCGCTGATGGGCAGGCAGGGAAAGCCCTGCTAATCCGCCCGGCTCGTTTGCTGGCATTTGGCCGTGCGCTTTACCGTGCCGATGTCCTTCCAAGAAATCAATTGGCCTTCATTTAATTTGGAAGAGGAAAGTAAAATAAGATAAACTGAAGGAAAACAATTGCAGTTCTGATACAGAATGCTCATCCAGAGTTTAATTCACTGCCTTTAAGCGCTAATTCGGAATAGTTGCCCTGAGTGATCCTACAGGGGCAAATCCTCAGTTGCCTTAAATCACTTCCAGGGTACGTTTGACTAATAAGGTACTCTTAGCTTTGAGCAAGAGCATTTCACGGGATTATAATCAGCGATGATTAATCGGAAATAACGCTCCTAGAGCAGGCTGTACCTGCTGCGCTATCGCCCGGTGCCCGGCTCTGCCCAGGGCAGGGGCGCGCGGGGAAGGGACTCTCCTCCTGCCTCCCGCAGCGATCCGCTGCCTTCGCAGCCGCAGATCACCCTCCCACCAGCCTTCCCGGCTCAACCTGGCACGGCGCTTTTCCAGCACTGCGCCTGGATCTGCCGGCTGCCAGCAGATTTCCCGGGGGCTAACGTGATCTGGGAGGTCCGGGGATGGGGCGGTTGGCTCTGCGGGCTCAGCAGCCCCGCTGAGATCGTCGCTTTGCACAGCTTTGCCTAAATCACAGGCAAAAAAATCTCCAGGCAGAGAGCACCAGCCGGGCAGGCGAGGCCCCGGGCGGGAGCAGCTTTTGCAAACCGCTCTGCCCTTGAGCCCTCTGATAGCTGGTCTCTGTTTCTTTAGCAAAAACCTTCCTGCAGCATGTGAGCACTCGCTGCCACTTAACCAGGTTTGACCCTAAGGCCAGTGAAATTTTAGGTCTTTTATTGCTTTGAGACAGCGCTGGTTCACGCAGCATGTCCTCAGCTATTTTGATTCTGCGTTTTCTCGCCCGCAGCGGCCGGCTTTGAGCAGTAGTTCAGCACAGCGTACCTACTGCAGTCAAAGATGTGTAAGTTAGCACAGAGGGACGAAGCAAATCTGTGCGATTAGGTTCAGCTCAAGGGGCTCATCCTGCAGTGGAAGAGACTTTTGCTTCTCCAAAGTCAAGGCCTGGGGAACTTACTCCTAAAATGACCCTTTAAAAACACTGAGTAACGCCGTGAAGGAGTCAGTTCACTGCTGGAAACCACATTTCACTTGGTGTCAGCAATTCAGAAGAAACCCATCTGTAGGAGATTATGATGACGATTTTCCTCTTTGAGTGAAAAGGAATAACAGCTGTGCAATGAACAGCAGTCGTCCACCCCCCCCCCCCCCCCCCAAATCACAATCTTTAACGGGGGCACG